TGAATCGCTTAATTTACGGTCCGCTTCAGCGATTACAGTCGGTAACTGAAGCAAAACAGAACGACGATAAAAAAAGAAATAGACAAATTTGTAAGCTTTTCTGCCCGAATATCGAAAAAGTGCATGAAAAATAAGACTGTGCAAATTTATTATAGCCAGTAAGGTACCTTATTATGGTCTAGGATTAGCAACTTTCGGCACAAGTTGGTGAATGTTAGTGTACACTAGGGATATCTCAAAACGGATAGGATCTTGCCGGGTGTTTTCGTGCGGAGAAATACTGACCGAACCGGTGATTTCGTCAGGAGAAGGAATAAATGTCACAGCACGCTGACCACCAAGCGATGCAACACAGCTCAGAAAGAAAAACTGGAAGATTTCCGGGCTGGATAGCTGGAAAATGACAAACTGTTTCATATTTTAAAAAAAAAATCTAACCTTGGTAACATTTTCTAATTTCCTGATTTCCTTTCTTGTCAGTGGGCTTACTTCAACAACATCGTATGAGAAGCCATAGTAGTTCAGAAACGCTCGAACTTTACAGCAGAATGGACACGCCGCGTACTGGTACAGCCTTAACTTAAGATCTGAATGGTCATACTCGCTTACGACCTAAAATAAATTTATGTTAAAGAAGGACACTACAGCTAACAGGTCAATGTTGAGTGATATGATACATATATTCATCATAAAAGATACAAGGAAGAGAGGCAAAAAATGACAAAACGGACTGCTGAATGTTATCTATACGATGCCAAGAATGAAGGAAAAGCCGCCATCGCTGTGAATGGACTTGTATGCACGCTTATATGGAATTATGTAAATGAGAAAAGCTCAAAACACCAAAGAATGGAGAAAATGCCAGCTGCACCAGTTGCGAGGAGAAACACAGTGATGAAACAACGGCCAAAGAAGGCGCCGAGGAAAAAGTCTTATGACTCTTGACTGTAAAAAACGTATAAAAATTTAAAAAAAATTTAGATCATGGATAATTCGACGGAAAAACGACTGACTCGTCTTGCGATCACTGTACCATCAGCTGAATGTTTGATTGGTCCCATGACCTGCCATTTCTCAAAATTTGATGGTTGGACTGGCTCACGAACACGTAAAGTCTCATTATCCTTCGCAACAATCGCGGACCCCAGTGCTACCGCTGCGCCACCGCAGACTGAACGAGTCCTTATTTTACTGGCTGCGTATCGTACCCACCACATCGTGAAAAACTGGAAATGCAGAACCGATCAGGAACGAGTGTAGTGAACTTACTCA